GCACATGATGAGGAATGCCCTGTCCTCGGGCGACGTGCAAAGGCCCGCCGCCGACGCCGAGGAAGGCGGGGCCGCGGGCGTTGGGCCTGAGAGCGGGACGTGCCGACGCGTCCAGGACCTTAAGGAGGAAGTTTCTCAAGGAAACGTCGCGGCCGAAGGAGCGCGTGGCAAAGGCCCGCGTGTGGAACGCCAAGCGTCATCGAGAAGAGACGAAGGAAGTGTCCCTCTTGCTACCGCGCGAGGTGCTCCTGGCGCTGGGGAGGCACGGCGACCTGGGCGCGCCGCTTCAGAAACAGGGTCTGGAAGAGGGCGACCGCGCGCACACGCAGGGCGTGGAAGCGAAGCTGGGCAGCCCCGCGGTGGCCATCGGCCTGTGGCAGGACGGGGCCCCCGCCAAGTGGGGCAGATCTGCGTCGGTCGAAGTCCTCAGCATGAGCTTGCCCGGCCTTGACCCCGACGGACCCTGCGGCAACTTGAGATTCCCATTGTTCAGCACTTTGAAGAGCCACTTGTCCACGAACGCCTGGCGCGACATCTTCGGCATCATACAATGGAGTGTTCTGTCTTTGTGGAGAGGCTTCTGCCCGCGTGAGCGGCGCGACAAGACGCCGTTCTCGCACCCCTCGGATAAAGCTCAACCAGCGTGGGCCGACCGCAGGGCCCTCGAGGGCCCCCCCTTGCCAGCCCGCGGTGCCCTGGTGCAGTTTCGCGCGGATTGGAAAGCGTGGAAAGAAGTTGTTTCTTTCCCCGCCTGGGGCGCGGGCTCTGGGTGCTGCTGGAAATGCAACATTCTGCGGGGGGGGGGGGGCGACTGGGCCCCGCGCAAAACGGAGGGGGAGGAGGAGGGGGAGAAGACGAGGAGAGGAGGGGGTGGAGGAGGAGGAGGAGGAGGAGCAGGAGGATGACTTCTTGGTTACACATTCCTTTGTTTCTGCGTTCCCTGCCTCCTCCCCGCTCTCCTTTGCGCGCCCCCCCCCCCCCAGGTGACGACGCAGACGTCGACGAGTTCTCGGTGGGCGAGGCCAACGAGCAGGCGCTCGCTGCAGGATGCGATCGCCATCGCCCTGCGCAGCGGAGGCCGCGCCTCGCCTGCGCTGAGTATCCCTGGCATCGCGATCGACGTGTTCAAGGTCGACTGGTTGCGCGCCGTGGACCAAGGGGTCGGGGCGGACTTCGCGGGGGCCTTGCTCTGGCACATCATGAAGAAGCCCCCCGGGCGCCGCCGCGCGCAACAGAGCGACGAGATGTGGAGGCTCATCCAGGCGCACTACGACGCGCACTCGACGCCCGACCGCCTCCACGACTTCAACGTGCGCACGGTGCAGCCCAAGAAAGCGCACCCGAAGTTCCGCGGCCAGGCGGCCATCCTGAGGCATCTGATCCCATTCTGCAAGGAAGCGGCCGAGACGCATTGCGTTTCTGGGAGTGCCGTGGACGACGCCGCGCTGAACGCCATTCGCCATTTGCACTCCTGCTGCCACACGTTGAGCGGCCAGTGCGTCTTCAGAAAGGATCTGATGCGCGACTCCGCCAGCAGGTTCGTGACCTTGCTTGCCTCTCTTGCTGCGCTGCAGCCGGGGAATTGGCGCGTCAAGCCGAAGCCGCACCTGCTCCTCGAGATGGCCTTCGCGGGAGGCCAGCCGTCGCTGCGCTGGACCTACGGGGGCGAGGACTTCGGGGGCAGCGCGGGCCACGTGGCGAAGAGGCGCGGCCCCCCGCTCTCAGCGACGGGCTTCTCCCGAGCGGTGATCGCGCGCCACCGCGTGCAGTCGATGGCGCGGCTGGCGCGACTGCCGCGCGCGCGGAGAGAAAAAGTGCACGCGCCACAGCGCTGCGGAGGAGCGGCGCCTCCTGCTCCACCGGGGCGCGCGCGCCCTCTTCAGGAGGTCACGCCTCCTTGTTCGAATGTTATACCGTGTTGGAGCACGCGTCGACGCTGATCGTTGCTAAAATTTAGCGTCGACGCTAAATTTTAAGGATGGTGAGTTTAAGGCCGACTACTAAATAAGCAGCTGCATTAAATAAGCATAGATGGATCTACATGGTGGAGACCTCCATCATGCTCAGGGAAAGGCTGTTTACGACATGTTCCCGTGGCACTTTCAGACTCAAGTCTAACACCCGCAACCGTCGCCCAACCTTCGGCATCTCACTGCGAGCTGGGGTTCGGAGAGATGGGGGCAGCAGGAGTTCATTTCGATGGCTACGCCGCGCGAGTGAGCGGTCTGCCTCGCGGACGTGCGAGCCGCCCCCTAGATGGGCAAGGCTTTCAAGGCGCATGCGGGGGAGATGGGGGCCGCGCTGCGATCTATGCAGGTTCACTTGCCCGCGGGTGCCGACGCTTGCCTCGCGGGAGATCAAGCGGCCCCGTGACTTCTGTGGGTCGAGAGTGTTAGTGGCCCCGCGCGCGTTAAGCTGATCACAACACGCGTCGTGGCCGAGGCGTTCGGCGCTGGCTGAGACACGCGCTGAAGCAAGACGGCCGCCCGCGCGGGCGCCAAGCTGCCCCTGGCGCGTCAGCAGGCTGCTCGGCATCGCGGGTGCTGGCCTGCCCCATCAAGCCTTCGTTGCGGAATTGCGCGTTGCCGCTGGGGTCGCTGACGACCCGCGCCCAGTGGGGCGAGCGAGGGCGCCGCGCGTCCGGAGCTCCTTTGTCGCAAGGATAAAACATGTCGCTCGCGAGCGCGTCGGGCCACCGTTGGGTTGCACCGCGCCCTGGGCCCATGGCGGCAGGGCGCGCCGTGGGCCAGGGCGATTGCGCGAGCCGCCTTCGATCCGCCAGCGCATCGGCGTTCGCGGCGTGCCGGGATGGCGATAGTGCCGTGGGCGCGTATCTCAGCTCGTGTGCTCCGCTAATCAGAGGCGTTGATCGCCTGCCTCTCGCGCGCGCGGACATTGCTGGGCGTTTTGGAACGCTTGTGCGATGTGACGTCTGCGCCGGCGGCGGGCTTGCATATTTGAACCAGGTGCGCAAGTGTATCAAGAGGGCACAAGCTACCATCTACATCAGCAGGGCTACGGTGCCACTGCGTGTGAATGTGATCACGGACAGTGCGTGTCGATCGGATCGCGCGGATTGTCTGCCGGCGCGCGCTGCCGTCGCCGAATTGCGTGGCGCGCAAGATTCGCAGTCGCCTTGCAAGTGTTATGCAAGATAAAACTTCCCAGAGAAAGCCATGGTGAGTCGTTGGGGTGTTCCTTCTGCGCTGACCTGAAGAACACGCTGGGTGTAACATGCATGGGGTCATGTAGGACGGTTACATGAAAGGATGGCTTTGCGGGGCGACCAGGTCAAAGGCTGCATGCGCAAAAGCGGATGGCGAATGGGGCAATGTCGTTGCATGTTGTTGGCCAGCCATCAATCTCGCGGTGTCGCGACCGCCCAGGAGATCGGCGCTTGCAGACAGGCGCTGTCTCTATCTCGTGGAAGCTTTCCAGAAACATGTCAGAGCTGGAATGCTCGGTGTTCGTAGACGCGAGAGAAGCGCCGTGCTTCGCCACGGCAGTGGAGGAATTTGTGGAGTTGCCGCTCTGGCGGAAAGAAAGGGGACGTCGACCATCTAAGGGCAGCGTCGCACCTGGCGACACCATAACCTGGTTCGATGACGCCGCGGTTGATATAATTGCCAGTTCGCATCGAACCGCTTTTCAGGAGGTCGGGTCCTGTCGAGATGCTTCTCCTGGGCGGAGAACATGGTGACCATGATGGCGTTCGTGATTTTATGTTATGGGTTTGGTTTCAGGACGCTGGTTGTTCGACAGCGACGGTGGCACGGAGGAGCGACGCCATAGTCACATCGCAAAGATCGCATGTCTTGCAGCTGGCCAACGTCGGTTTCCAATTCGCCTTAAGGCTGCGCGTTCATAATACTGCACTACGCGTTTATAATAGTGTACTGGCCAATCGACCTTCCTCTCTTCTTGTTTAGAGGGTCGGGTGGAAGATAAGGTGAAAGGGGCTTGGCGGTGGTAGTGGTTCTTGGAAGCGGCAGGCGTTTTACCTCTCCCATGAGATTCGGTTTTCAGGAAAACGACGGTAACACATCGGGTTCCCGAAACGAGAAGCGTTTGCCCCGGGATTCGGGCAAGAGCACATACAGGACTACAATCGTGACGGATCCGGGCAGCAAAGGCAAACCGAACACACGAACAAAACGGCCGTGCCGGCTCCAAGAACCAATATAACAAAGGGAAGGAAATTGCGGGGGAGGGGGGGGGGCGACGAGGAGAACGGGGATCAATCACCCCCCCCTGGAGCAGCTTCTCTTTCCCACTTCCTCCTTTTCCACTTCCTCTGTTCCTCCATTCCCCTTTCCTTCTGCCGTCTTCCGTTGTTCGTTTCCTTCCCTCCCCAGTCCTTCATGTTTTTGTTTCTTCTCCCTGCTGTTCCTGTAGTCCTGTATACCCTAGCCTCCCTCACCTTCCTCCTCCTCCTTCTCCTCCTCCTCCTCCTCCTCCTCCTCCTCCTCCTCCCCTTCCTCCTCCTCCTCCTCTTCCTCATCCGCCTCCTCCTCCTCTTCCTTCTCCTCCTCCGCCTCCTTTACCCGTCCCCCATCCTCCGTCCTCCCTTGTCCTCCTCCTCCTCCTCATTTTCCTCCTCCTCCTCCGTTCTTCACCCACCACCGTCCCACAGTTGCTCGTGTCGTCTTCTTCTTCTTCTTCCTCCTCCTCCTCCTCCTCCTCCTCCTCCTCCTCCTCCGTCATGTCGCGGACGGTAGTCGTAAGCATTACCGAATTCGTATCGAGCACCATGGCCGAAATATTACAGCAAAGCAGCGCTGTGTAAGCCAAGCCTGGCGGGGAAGCCCGTTTGAGCGGTGTCATGGTCTATTAGTTATCGACATGGTCGCGCCATCCGTAACTCCGTAACTCCTGTTCCTCCTCCTCCTTCTCCCCCTCTTCGTCTTCCCCTTCTCCTCCGCCTCGTCCTCCGCCCCTTGCCACTTCCCCGGCCTTCTTCCCCTTCCCCTCCTCCGCCTCCGATCTGGCGGCACCCCGAGGCTCACTACGGTCCCTACGCGGACGCGCACGCCTTGGAAGAGTTTGCCCAGTGGTGTGCGGCGGCTGCCATGGGGCAGCCGCCCCAGCCCAGCGACTGCGCGGCCGCTCAGCACAGTTTGCCGAGCTTCGCAGGCGGCGTCGTCTACACGCAGGATTTCCGGGGGAGGAGAACGTACCGATGCCGATGCCCGCCCCTCCCCGCCCCCCTCCTTCCCCCCCCCCCGTTTTCGCCTTCTTTGGCCTCCTCGCGGGGGCCCTCGTCGCCACGGCTGGGTCCGCCCTGGAATCCTCGTCAGAACGCGCCTCGGGAGATGTTCGGCATCTGTGTCCTTTTGATCTCCCAGGAGTATCCTTTGCCTTCGAGCTTGCCCCCCAGCGCGGGCGCTGCCAGCTCCTTTGTTCCTGACGGTCGAATCCACTCCCGCATCTGAACCTCGGATTGCAGCCAGTCTTCTTCTTATACTAGTGGGGTGCTGGCCGTTAGGCTCGAGAAGAGATTTGCAACGTGCAAAGGTGTGCACATCTGTGCGGCATAACTCCTGTTCGTCCCCCCCATGCTCCTGCTTTACCTCAACGAAGCGTTCCGTTGCAAATCCCCTTCTCACAGGCAGACGTGTCCCACAACGTTTAACTCGTAGGGTAAGCGCAGTTAGTTCTCAAGTCTTTTTCTCGGTGTCTGCAGCCAGGGCTGCAGACACCGAGTTGTCGCTCTGCAGTTGTGCTGTGCCTCTAACGGGTAGCGGACTTCGGCACTCTTGCGGGGACGACAGGCTCTTCGGGAACGTGATGGCGCGATTCGGCGATCGTTAGGCGCGGACTCGTGCAGGGTGGCACGGGCGCAGAAAAAAGGCAGGCTCAGGCGCACCATAGGTATAATATTTCTGTATATATAATGTGAATAAATATCGCCCCCCCCGGCCCCGGGTCCCACACCTCTCTGGAACATCTCGAGAACGCTCCCGGTACCGCTTCCCCGGCCTTCCGGGGAGCCTCCACAGTGCTCCAGGAGGGCCCCAGACGCCGCTACGGAGCCCCCAGAATGCGAAAGGATGGCCCAAGACGCTCCCAAGCAGCCCAAGTCAGCCTTTGACGGCTCTCGAGGCTCCCAGGTGGCCTCCAAGAGACCCCAAGAGATGTCCGAGAGGCGCCCCGGGACGGCCCGAAGAGGCTAAAATCGTAGATGTCCATTAGTTTTTTCAATGTTTCTAGCTTCTCGCGTTTTCGAGCTTCCAGCGCTCCATGAATGTCGAAGAGCCGCCCAAGACCGCCCCAAGACCACCCAAGAGACCCTCAGGACGGCCCCAAGACGGGTCAAGAAGGCTCCAAGACTGCCGAAGGGGCCCCCACGACAGCCCCAGACCACTCCAGAACAGGCCCAAGATGGGTCCAAGAGCGGGAGCAGGAGGCTTCCAGAGACCTCCGAGAGGCCTCCAGGACCCCCCAGAGGCCCCCAACACACCCCCGATCCCTGAGAGGCCCCCAAAAGACCCTGACGAGGCTCAAAGAACAGCCCAAGAGAGCTGTGAGAGCCGTCCCGAGAGAGCCCAAAGAGGGTAAAATCGTTGATTTCCAATTGTTTTTCTAATGTGTTTCGCCTTCTCACGTTTTCCCGCTTCCAACCCTCGAAGATCGAGGATTAAAAAAAGAGAGAATTCCAAGAATCCCCTTTTTTCAAAGTGGACTCCTACTTGGAGATCCCACACATCCCCTGACAGCACTACCGCGCATCCCGGCTTCCCGGGGGGCCCCAAGACGCCCAAGGACAGCTCAAGACGATCCCCAGGAGCCCCCAGAACGTAAAGAACTGCCCAACACGCTCCCGCGCAGCCCGAGACACCCTTCCGACGGCTCTCCAGATCATCGAGGTCAGGAGGTAGTACGTAGTGCACGGTAGGTTCGTGCCGTGTCGACTCGGCGGCGACCCCGCCGCGGCCGGTCAAGGTTGAACGTTGTCAGCGGCCCAGAATCGGCCAGCACAGAACGACCTGGAATTTGAAAGACGCCGATTTTTCAAGGTTGAACGATCCACGTGTTTTCAGAAACCAGCGCGGGGGTCGTCAACACACGAACCCGCTGTGCACCATCCCAGAGCTAAGCCCAGACATCCGATATCTGGATCTTTTCGATAATTCCGGGGTCCCTGGAGGTCCCGACCTTTTCCCCAGGAACGGCCTTCAATCCTGGGTCGTTTCTTGACGGCCCTGAGGCCCGGCGAGGGCCCCGACGTGATTTTGCTCACGATGCCAGCACGTCTAGGATGGCGGCCCTGGCCCCGCAGCGGCGCACACATCCGCCCTCTGGATCCAAGGGTATGGGGGGGGGGGGGGGGGCGCGGCGGCGGAGGTCCTTGGAGGCAGCAGTGGGCCCGCGTGGCGGCAGCATCGGGAGCCCGCGCCGTCACGGCGGGAGCCCGCGACGTGGCAGCAGTTGGAGCCCACGCCTTCCTCCCCCCCTCTTCCTGCTGGCCCTGCTCCTCCTGTTCCTGCTGCTCCTCCTCGTCCTCTATCCCTTCTCCTCTTCCTCCTCCTCCTCCTCTTCTTCTCTTCTTCTCCCATTCGATGACGCTCCAGCCTCCTCCTCTTCCTTCTCTTGCTCGTCCTTCCTCCCTCCTTATCGTCATCTTCCTCCTCCGCCCCTCCTCTGTCTCCTCCTTCTCCTGCCCTTCTCTTATTCCCCTGATAATGCTCCTCCTCCTCCTCCTCCTCCTCTCCCTCCCGTTCCCCTTCTTCCACCTCCTGATCTTGAACCTCCTCCTCATCCTCCCACGCCCTGAAAGTTTTCGCAGGTTCCCAGAGATCCCAAGACGTAGGTCCCCGAAGGCCTATGCAGTCTTGGGGAGGCCCAAGAGTGGCCGGTCCGAACCTCTCCTCCCGCCTTCTCCCTTTCATCTTCCCATTGCGCAGCTGCTGTCTCCCCCTCCTCCTCCTGCTCCTCCTCCTCCTCCTCCTCCTCCTCGTTCCCAGCTTCCTTCTTCCCCGCCTCCTCCTTCTCCATCTCTTTCTCCTCCGCATCCTTCACAGCCGTCCAGAAAGCTCGTTCCGACCCCCCTCTCACCGTGCTGGCATCCTACTAAGCCTTCTCCTCATTCTCCCTCCTCGCCCCTCTTCGGGCGGTCTTTGGTCCCCGTGCATTCCACCCGCTGAGCTGATTAAGACAACGCTTGTGAAGCCGCGCAGTTCCAATTCCTTGTTTGTGTTTGTGTGTGTGCGCGTGTCTGTGCGATTCGGCATTTTCGCCATGGACGGCCGGGCGGGGAGATCGACGAGGAGGAGAGGACCAGAGTAAGTTCAAGATGCATCAACCGATGCTGCAGTACACCCTACCGTTCCCCAAGTCCCCTCATGAGTCCAGGCAAGCCTTCCTTTCCACGTCGGGCACCCCCCCTTGAATGACGACCGGCCGGTCGGTCCCCCAGTCAGGCGAAGGCGCCTGCTGTCAAGGATCCCCCTTCCACTTGAAGGACGCCCAGGGTAGCTGCAGAGTGTCATAGTCGTGAGCGTATGTTCCGCGGAAGTCCCTCGCGAGAGCCTTTCAAGGAGGCCCCCAGGGATAGCATCATTTTGAGAAGAACATGCCCTCCATCCGTCTCAGCGCTGCAGGATGTCAAGTCAAAGTCGTGGACGCGTGCTTCGCGGAATTTTCACGCGAGAGCCCCGTCTCGAAAGTGAGGCCGCCCTCCATCCGGGTTCGTGTTTGCACCGTATGGAAGGCCAGGCCGTGGAGGTCGAGGAAGGGAGGAAGGGTCACGTTGTCACGCGAGTGTAGATGGTGGACTTTGTATTTGAATAATCGCGAGGCCAAGGGGAGACCCCGATACGGTGGGGGCTTTAGTCAGGGAATGTGCCCAGGAGGCTGCAGATCCTGGAGGATTCCTTATCTGATGAGGGTGGCGGTGGTATCCACGATCGGCCCACCATTGGCTTCACACCTGCTTCCAGACCCTGGATTCCTTACACAGCTGGACAATGTGTAGACCGAATACGCATGGCTTCATGGCGAGAGCTCTTTTTTGAAAACGACCCGCCTTCTACCTGTTGCTGAGTTGTGTAAAACGATAGGGTGCGGCGCCAGCAAAGCGAGAAGCCCTTTATGACAAGCGTTGTGGTCCACGCGTCAACGCGACCTGAATTCATCTGCTCCTCGACGCGTCCTGCGGCGACGAGGACGGTGAAGATGAGGATGTGGATAATATTGTTGCTGGTGGCCACGGTGAGCCTGGGAGCGCTCAGGGAGGGGTTGTAGCGTCTGGAGGTGCCCTGGTTTTTGTTCGTTCCACGAGGTTCCAGTGGCAGCGCCCGCATGCAGCTCCATCCCCCATGTCGTCGAACCTCTCAAACGTTTCGTGGCCCCATGGGGAGCTCCACCCAAGGCGCCCTTGGCGACGCCCGCATGCAGTTCCACCCCAAGTGCGGTGCACCCGTCACAGGTTTTGTGGACCATTATAGGGAGTTGGCAGCGCCCGCATGCGGTTCCATCCTTCATGTCGGCGAACCACTCACACGTTTCGTGGTCCCGTAGGTGCCTCCCTCGATTGCCCAGGTGGCAGCGCCCGCATGCAGCTCTACAGCCATTGTGGTGCACCCCTCGGCCCCACAAGGAAGGTCAGCGCCCGCATGCGGTTCCGCCACCATTGCGGTGCACCCCTCACACGTTTCGTGGCCCTATAAGGGGTTCTCCCGACGGCCCCAGTGGCAGCGCCCGCATCCGCTTCCACCCTCATTCTGGCATACCGCTGACACAGTCGGTGGAGCTCCCTACGGGACCACGAAACGTGTGAGGGGTGCGCCGCAATCGGGGTTGAACTGCATGCGGGCGTTGCAAAGAGCTCCTTCGGTGGAGCTCCCCATGGGGCCACGAAACGTGTGAGGGGTGGCCGAAATTTGGAGTGGAGCTGCATGCGGGCGCTGCCACTGGGGCCTGCCTATGGGGCCACGAATCGTGTGAGGGGTGTGCCGAAGTGGGGGTGGAACTGCATGCGGGAGATGACCCTGGGGCCTTCGGTGGAGCTCCCGATCGGGCCGCGACACGTGTAAAGGGTTAAACCGAAAGGGGTGTGGAACAGCATTCGTGCGCTGCCACTGGGGCCTTCGGTGGAGCTCCCTATGGGCCGCGAAGCGTGTGAGGGGGTGCACGGCAATGGTGGTAGAACTGCATGCGGGCGTTGCCACTGGGGCATTCGGTGGGAGCTCCCTGTGGGGCCACGAAACGTGTAAGGGGTATGCCAATATAAGGGCTGGAACCGCACTCGGGCGCTGCGACTGAGGCATTATGTGGAGCTCCCTACGGGGCCACGAAGCGTGTCAGGGGTGCACCGCAAGGGGGGTGGATCTGCATGCGGGCGCTGCAGATGGCGCCTTCGGTGGAGCTTCCTACGGGGCTACGAAACGTGTGATGGGTGCACGGTGATGGGGGTGGAACTGCATGCAATGGCGCCTCCGGAAGAGCTTCCTCCGGGGCCACGACATGTCCCAGTGGCAGCGCCCGCATGCAGTCCCACCCCCAATCGTGGTCCACCCCTCAGGGGAGCTCCACCGAAGGCCCCAGCGGCAG